TCCGGCCACCGCGGAGGCGCAAACTATCGTCACGCATAGGGGCGCATTTAAATGCAACCGGCTCCAGTTCAGGGTGAGCGTCGCTCCAGGAATTTTTCAGAGCTTAATGGAAAGGCTGTTACAAGGAATAAGAGGGGTCGTACCGTATTTCGACGATGTGCTCATCGCCGCCCCGAACAGAGACATTCTAGAAAAACGACTCCGCATAGTTTTACAAAGGTTCCAAAACGCAGGCCTCAAAGTTAAAAAAAATAAATGCCAGTTATGTACCGAAAGGGTGGAGTTTTTGGGATACCTCCTGGACAGTCAAGGAATCCATCCCACTGAGGACAAATTAAAGGCAATTAAGAAGGCCCCCATTCCAAGGAACAAGGCAGATCTACAGGCGTTCCTTGGACTTATCAATTTTTATAACGTCTTTTTACCCAATAAAGCAACCGTAGCTGAACCATTACATAGACTCTTAGACAAAAAAGCAACGTGGCTTTGGGGACAACGTGAACAAAACGCTTTCCAACAAGTAAAGAAATTGCTAACTTCTGATTCTGTACTTATGCAGTACAACGAGACTCTGCCGTTAACTATTACTTGTGACGCCTCACCTTTTGGGGTTGGAGCAATCCTGGCCCACGTATTACCGAACAGAGCAGAAGCTCCCGTCGCATTTTTTTCACGAACTTTAGCTAAAGCTGAAAGAAATTATAGTCAGCTGGATAAAGAAGCTTTAGCTATTGTGGCGGCAGTGAAAAGGTTTCATGAATATGTGTATGGGCGTGCGTTTACAATAATTACTGATCATAAACCACTACTGGGGATTATTGCGGGTAATAAACCAACCCCGTATATATTGTCCCCCAGAATGACCCGCTGGTCTGAATTCTTGGCGGCGTACAATTACACCTTGCAACACCGCCCGGGGAAATCAATTCTCCACGCTGATGCATTGAGCAGAACACCGCTTCCAGAATCGGTTGAAGATCCAGTCCCAACCATCACAACGTTGCAAATTGAGACTCTACACGCGCCGCCATTGACGGCGAGAGACATTGCCCTCGAGACAAAACGAGATCCGGCCCTGCAACACCTCCTACGCTGGGTTGAGCGTGGTTGGCCAACAGAACAGCTATCACCTGAATGGGCGCCGTTCAAAGCACGCCAAACCGAACTGTTTTCTCAAAAGGTCTGCATCTTGTGGGGCGATAGAGTTGTAATCCCGAGCAAACTGCAACGAACTGTTTTAGCGGTATTGCACGACGGACATCCGGGCATCGTGCGGATGAAAGCACTCGCACGGAGCTACGCCTGGTGGCCGGGAATCGACAAACGAATCGAGGCCTGGGTCGCTACTTGTCAACGTTGTCAAGACGTCAGCAACGCCCCACCTAAAGCAAGCCCAACTGAATGGGAAACTCCGAGAGGACCATGGTCCCGTATCCATATTGACTTTGCGGGGCCTACAAAAGGGCACACTTTCCTTATTACAGTCGATGCCTATTCGAATTGGCTCGAGATTCATCGAATGAGCACAACTACAACGGACTCAGTTATCAACAAATTAAACAGGCTATTTGCCACACATGGTTTTCCGGACGTCCTCGTCTCGGATAACGGCCCACAGTTCACAGCATTACCATTTGAACAATATCTTGCTGACCGGGGCATCCGCCATCTGCTGACCTCGCCCACGCACCCTGCGGCGAACGGGCGCGCAGAGCGCATGGTACAGTTTGTAAAAAAGACCCTCCACAAAATGGAATTCGGAAACATCGATGAGAAAATCAATCGGATTTTATTGCTGCAGCACATCACGCCCCACAGCGTTACCAACAAAACGCCCGCCGAACTTCTTATGGGGCGGAAACTACGATCGCACCTCGACCGGCTCCACCCCGCATACGCACCCGAAAAGCCTTTCGGCTCCAGCAGCAAATGCCGGGAATTTAAGGTAGGCGATTTAATCTTTGCCAAAAACTTCTCCGGCGACCCTTTATGGATACCCGCAACCGTTACCCACCTCACTGGGCCTAAATCTTACCGCCTCCTAACAGACGATGGGAGGGTGTGGAAATGCCACATAGACCAACTCCGTTCGAGATTACTACCCAGCGCCCATGACTCCCCGGGTTCACCAACTGAGGGGGGAGGAAATATCGAGGAAATTGACTTCGATACGACGGATAGCAGGCCAACGGAAAACCTACGGCCCAGCGAAGTACCGGGGATTGAAGCGGGGAGGGAGTTGACTTTGCCATGGGACTTGAACACGGGGGAAACCGAACTGCGAAACCCCGAAGAAACACTGATTGGCGGAGACAACAACAACGGAAGCAGCACGGAATCACCGTGCAGCGAAATGGAACTTAATAAAGATCATCCAAACGCTCCACCGGAACCGGACTTGAGAACAAGCCCGGTGGAGCCACGGAAATCATCCAGACAGACCAAACGGCCTGTCTATCTTGAAGATTTTGTTACAGCTCTCCTCAAACGGAACCCAAGGGGGAGGGGTGTTGTGAATGAATAAAGTAAATAAGCCCAAATGCAAAGTAGGTTTTGGAAGCCTGCACATTTGATTGGTCCTTGAACAGCAAACAAGGATTGGTTCATAAAAGCCCCTGATTGGCCAAACTTAGGACACTTCCTATTGGTTATTGGTTTGGACCTTATGCACTTATTATTGGTTAATAGGATAGCAGCCAACCCTATAAAAGGGTTACTGCTGCCCATAGCCTTGCTCTGTTCTGTTCTATTTACTGTTAATAAAGAGTTGAAGTCACTGGTCAGATGTCTGGTCTCCATTACTCTCCAAACCTAACAGGTTGTATGGTATAAAGCAGGAGTGTCAAACTCAATTTCATTGAAGGCCACATCAGGGTTGTGTTTGACCTTGGCGGGGCGGGAAGGATGTGGCCAGGGTGGGCATGGCCAACTTGACGTCATTCCTGTCAGGGCACCTGTGGCGGCCCGAGAGTTCTGCCAGCAAAAACAGGCTTCTGAGCTCCATTTTCAGCTGCAACAGCCTCCTGCAACCCTCTGCCAGCGAAAACAGAGTTTGGGAGGATCACACAAAGCCCTCCCATGCTCCATTTTCACTGACAGAGGCATCGCAGGCTGGTCCGCTGTTTCCAGAGCAGCCCTACGGGCTAGATCTAAGCACCCCATGGGCTGGATCCGGGCCCCGGGCCTTGAGTTTGACAACCCTGGTATAAAGTATTAGCTGCTATATTGTTCTTATTTTGTCCTACTCTTCTCTTTTCATACATGTTCTTATTTTATTATATTTAGTGTATTTTAGTCTTTTTATTTTAATACGTTTTGTGAGTCCGGGACCTGTTGGAATGGAATGGAATGGAACGGAATAATTTCTGAAATAACCACTCCTTTTCACAAGTTCATATCTGACATCCACAGTTTTTTCCAATAAGGCACATAATTTCCTGATTGCATTAAGGGTGACTAATTTGACCTTTATATGCGTAAACAAATAGATCTGTTCCCAGATATGTTTACAATGCAACAGCTTGAGAAAACTCACTTAAACAGATCAAGCCATATGTTTTAGAGGAAAGGACAAATAACTCATGATTATCAGCCATTCACACTAGGGCGACAGAGTTTCCTGGCTTCAGATATTAGCTTTTACCAAATCCCAAGGATGTAAGTTAAGCTTTCTGTTTAGACCAGGGTTTACCAAATTATGCAGTGTTCCTCTCTCGGAAAAGTGCACACAGAGTCCAGGGAGAGGTGAAGAACATTTTAGATCAAAAGTCCCCAACCCCGCAGTCCGTAAACTGCTATCGGTCCATGCAGAGGTGGTATTCAGCAGATTCTGACCAGTTCTGGAGAACCGGTAGTGGAAATTTTGAGTAGTTCGGAGAACCGGCAAATACCACCTCTGACTGGAGATTTTACGGTATCCTTCCCCTGCCACACCCACCAAGCTATGCCCACCAGGGGTGGGATGCTACTGGTTCGGCCCGGTTCTATAGAACCTGTAGTTGCGAAGAGCAGCTGACACCAAACCAGTTCAGTGTTTGGCCCACCTGCCTGCCTGGGCTCTAGGCTGTCCTTTATTCCCTGCTTTTCCCTCCTCAGCTGCTTTGCACAGCACAGTTGAGGTTGAAAAAGCAGGAAACAAGAGGATTTCCAAACGTTGTGCACCCAAGCACAGCGCTTGTCAGTTATCCAGGTGGCACATTACCCACAGAACCGGTAGTAAAATTTTTGAATCCCACCACTGGGTCCATGGCCCGATGGAAACCGGGCCATTCAAGTGGCGGGCAAGTGCAGGAAGCTCCATTTGCACAAGCAGTGTGTGTGCATGTGAAACCGTCTCCTCTCCCTGCCACCGCAGCCACCATCAGTCTGTGGAGCCAGAAAGTTGAGGAACGTTCGTTGTTTTAGATACAGTACATTGTTAAAATAAATTCACCTTTCCCAAAATTTCATTGTGTTGTTTTCATTATTCATTTGTCTTCATTTTGATGTTTGGATTTTTAGGGGAGATGTGTACATTAATGTTATGCTAAAGAGAGGTATGATGATAAAAAGTTTAGGAATCCCTGATTTAGACATTCCTAAGAGATTTTATTGATTAGCCCAGTCAGCCTTATTCCTAATTAGTTTCTCAGCAGAACAGAGTTTACAGAGTGAACAACAATGGCACCTCTCAACTCAAAAAAAAAAAAAAAAAGCATGATTCTTACTTCATAGAAAGCCAAGTACAAATAAAGGAAAAGAATAGACCAGAATTGTGGTGCATGTGAAATATGCCATAGACAAAGGCATGTCCATATACCTCATCCCACTAAACCAAGGTGCATTCTCATACTCTCTCTGTAATGCTATACAAGCCACAAAAGTTATGCTACTCTTCTAAACTCAGGGTAATGCCCTTTTTTCCAGTTAAATCTGACTTTTTTGATATTTAGCTTCCTGATTAAAGATTGCCCATTTGTTGCAAAAAATATAGGACAACCATCCTTTTCATGGTGGCATTGTTCCTCTCTTTCAGGATTGGCAGTCATGCATTCCCAGAGCAATGATTACTTGGATATTGGGAACAACCCACGGGTGGGCACCAAACGCTATATGGCACCTGAAGTTTTGGATGAACAGATTCGTATGGACTGCTTTGAATCCTTCAAGCGGACAGACATCTGGGCTTATGGTCTGGTTCTATGGGAGATAGCCCGAAGAACCATTGTGAATGGTAAGGAAAGCCAAATGGAAATATGATGCGGTAATCAAAGGCCTTGCCTCGTGGTTTAGGAAAAGTACTATCCACTTATTCCTGCCACAGGATGTTTATACTATGGTAAGTTGCAAGTAAGATAAGATTCTAAGTTCAAAAGGAGAGCTCTACAAAAATGGGTCGAAGCTTTGCAGAAATCAATCCTCTCTGATCCAAATACAATCAGATTATTTTTTTCTGCTAGTCACGGGACTATTTTAAATATCTGAAATAGCAATCTTCATTCGCAACATTTAATGGCTTCTGACAGTGTATACCCACCTGTTCAGAAAAGGGTAAAATGGAAAGCATACTGGGAGGTTACAGAGAGCTGCCAGAGCAATTTCTCTTGCTTGCAGGAAGTGCTTTGTAACTAGCCACACCTACCAGATCAGCCATTTTGTCAGGGAGCCTTATGCTAGCTACCTTCTTGGTTCAGAGCTGGACAACCTGCAGCCAAACATTTTAGCAGTGTGTAATTCAGCCCCTGGGTTCAATAACGCTCTGGCATTGCTGTCCCTTATTAACTGGGATTCCAAGGTCTCTCTGATGTTCAGAGGTCTTTTCCCTCTTAATATGGAGATTGTGTTTAATTATTTAGAATTTTAGTTATTCCTCTCCTTCATGCCAAAGTGTTGCCATGAATGAAGGAAACTGTTTACTCAGTTTTCTGTATCAGCCGGCCATCTGACCAGCAGTGGCTGAAGTCTCAGAAGATAGTCATCTCTCTTCGTTACTTCATGTTGGACTCAGCTTCCAGCGCAGTCTTGAAAACATGTGTAAAGTTGTCTTTGTGGTGCTGTGGCCCAAGCTAGAACTTGTACATATATGAGTGGAATAATAACTAGCTTTTCACAGCTCTCCAGCAACTCTTACCTGCTCAGAGATCATGCGAACAGATCCCAATTGTGTGGCCTAGAAACAGTCTTAGGACAGTTCATACATGGGATTGAGCATAATTTGCCCAGCTGTGATTTGCTGAATAGATTAAAACTGGCAGGGTTGACAGAGGGCCGTTGGTTCTTTTAAAATGGCAATGGGCCATCTCCATTCCTCCATTAGCCCAAGCCAACAGAGAGAGGGATTGCCCGGAGCTAGAGTCTTTGGGGACTGCAGGTTGTCCAGCTCTTTAATTTGAAAGAAAAACCTGTAACTTCTGGCACTGCAGTTGAGTTCATGCTTTATTGAGGAACTGGAATCTCAGCTGCTGTTAGAGAATGGAAGGAGCCGGCCTTGCTTTCCACTCTTCCCCACCTCCCCCCCCCACTTTGGCTCCCTGTGTAGAAACAATCGCTAATCAGGCCTGTTAATGGGGATGTTTTTGACTGGCCTAGTTGGAAGTGTTTTCATTTTTCTTTTTCCACACGAATGATTAGCTGTAAATTATAAACACTGTAATCTAGTGTCAGCGCCCAGCTTGCAGATTAAAGGGACCATTAGACTCAATCAGCACTTTGTTTGTTCAACTCTGATTAGGAAACAAGCAGCATCACAGCTTAGCTTGGCAACTGGCCACCTTCAGGGAACTTCGGCTATCCTCTGACCAATGCAGCAGTGAATATGCCTCTCTGCTCCTACATTGGCAAAATATGCAGAGGCTTCCAGTGATGGTTTCTCTGTTGGTTCCCGCCCCCTTTTTGCATTTTACATTTCTTAAGGGAAGTGGCTGGAAAAGGATCTCACCTCTAAAGTGTTCTTGTGTGCAGACCATACTATACAAGTTTGCAATGAGGATCGCTGAAAACCAAGCAAAGATCCAATGTATTTTTGTGGTTTTGTTTTTTTTTAAAGTAGTTGTGTTAAGGATTAAACCAATATAAACTAATACAACTAATATTCTAATAGAGAAAGAAAAGAAGAACTCGAAGGGAAACCTAAAAGTGCAAGAAAAGAAAAAAGAAAGAAAAATAGAAAAGACAGAAAAAGATACAAAGGAGGACCTCTTTTTTTTTTTTTTTTTTGTAAATTTTATTTGAGTTTTCACAAAAAGAAAAAAAATACAAATAAAACATCTTTTTTGAAAGTAGCGTAATCCCGGGTTACATTTCTTCGTACAGACACAAATTCAAGTTCATGCTCATTTTTATATTCTATTCCATATCTTATTACTATTTTACATTTTCTGCATAGCTTCTCCCCTCTTTTAATTTTCTCAATTTTATTTTAATTATCTCATCTCAATTCAAATCATTATTTTTGTATTTTTTGTCTGTCCTGTTTCAATTATCTATTATCTTTTCTCATTAAACAAAATTTCTCCTGTAGTTACTGATTGGAGTGAACTGAAGCAGGAGGACCTCTTCTTTACAGCAGATAGAAGAACAGTTAAAAATTTACCTCTTACTCTGTTACAACATGATTCAAAATCGTAAATCATAAATTCTTTTTTTTTAGTTTTGTGCAAAAATCCATAAGGCGTTTCCAGTCAGCAATAAACATAGTTTAGTTTTCTCCACTCAAAGAAATCAATTTAGCCATCCTGGCAGGGTCTATCATCTTTACCAACCATTCTTCTATCCTGGGTAGTGCCAGATCTTCCCATCTTGTTCAGACAATAATCTCATTGCAGTAAGCTCCAAATAATTTTTGAATTTCCAGCTTTCTGGCAATTAACACTTGTGCGGAAACTGCCCTAGAGTGAAAAAGCAAGTCCGTAACAGTGTAGCTATAAACCTGAGCATTTTTCAAGGATCAAAGGTATTCAGCTGATAGACTGAGATCCACAGAGTACTGATTTGAAGAATTATGTTGCTCAAAAGTAAAGCTTCTAGGCTGTTGCAAAGAGTCCCAGTTCAACCCTCAAAACAACAGTGGTAGTAGGATTCAATTTTTTTTACTACGGGTTCTGTGGGCGTGGCTTGGTGGGTGTGGCAGGCGAAGGATACTGTAAATTCTCCAGTCAGAGGTAGTATTTTCCAGTTCTCCAAACTACTCAAAATTTCCACTACCGGTTCTCCAGAACTAGTCAGAACCTGCTGAATACCACCTCTGGGGTGGGTGGGTGTCCCTTTCCCAAACTATGGGCTGGAATAAGCAGGTCTGAGCTAAAGGCCAGCCCTCTTGATTTGAAGAGCAGCTTAAGTAAGGATATACATGTGAATCAAGAGCCAACCCAGCACTGGGGTTAGAATGCTATGGTGGAAACTAAAGTAGTCCTCGCTTAATGAACGGTTGTTTAACTGTTCAAAATTACAGTGGCCTCAGAAGGGGTGCTTTACAACTTGTAATAATATAAGAAAACATCATGCCTTATAACATTAAAAAAAAATACCTGGATTCATCTCAAGGTACATCCCCATTCTTTCCTCAGTTCCCCAATGCATATTGAAACAGCCATGTCGTTAAATGCTTCCTAAATATTCCACATGGGGGTGCAGTTCTCCTGTCGGGGAGGCAGAGGCTGTATAGGAAGGTACTTCCTACCAGGAATGCTCAGAAATTAGGAAGTTGCTATGTACTGATGCTGACTGCTGTTTGAGATTGGATTGATTTGATGGAACAAATGATTGATTACCTTTTATAAAGAATTCAAGGCTGCAAACATACCTAATATTCCTTCCTCCTAGTTTCCCCACAACAACCTGTGAGATGAGTTGGGCTGAGAGAGAATGACTAGCCCAAAACACCCAGCCAGCTTTCATGACTAAGGAGGGACTAGAAGTTCTGATTTCTAGGCTGGTCCTTTTAGATCCAACTATACACTCATTTTCAGATCAAAGGCTAAAGTTCTTGACTGAAAGGGAGGCAGGATAAGTGTCATGATCCAAAAAGTAGATTGATTCAGAGCAAGATACAATGGATCCAAGAACAAACGAAGGAAATCAAATCAAATCAAAATTCCATGAATAACGTGGAATTTACTCACGATGTCTTGAGCAACATTCCTTTCCTCTCATATTAAAATTAGAATTGGACGGCAACAAACTTTAGGAGTTTTGGAGGCTGCCACTAAGTTTTTCTGGACCATATCTGCTCCTAAGGAGAATCAGTTTGCTTGCTTGGTGGTTGGTTTAATTTACAAGTCACCCATCTCCCAAATGACACCCCCTCTGGTTTTTCCTACCCATGCTTGGAGATGCTGGAAACTGAGTGTGGGATTTTTCTCTTTGCAAAGGAAGGAAGGAAGGAAGGAAGGAAAAGAGAGAGAAAGAAAGAAGGAAAGAAGGAAGAGTTTGGTAGGGGCTTTTTCAAATTATTAAAAGGCTTAAGTTTTCATGAGCTGCATTAGAAGCATAGAGTGCCTCTCCTTTTCTGCAAAGGAGATGTCCTTTTCCTTTTTTAAAGACAGGCACCCTAAGGACGAAATAATTTTACTCACCTATGGCAGAAGGAAAAAAATGAGCAGATGTTTTAACCGAAAAATACCAATAGCCCACTTTGTCCAAGCTTTTTGGAAGGTGCCCTCAATGTGTATCTCCAGGTTACTACCCTACAAATCCTTGCTTCTGTATGGTCTTTTGCTGTTTGGCTTCTTTTCTGTTCTTCTCAAACTACTAAACGACTGTGCTAAACCCTAATGGGTTTCTTATTTTTGCCTTAGCTTAGGATATTCCCTAAACCCAGCCACTGTACTTCATAACTTGTAGCTTAGTATGAACCCAGACCAATGATGGCTTATGCAGTAAGCTAATTAAACAAACTCAGCTCAGAAGCTAACCATATTGATGCCTGCCCCGCTTCAATTTGGGCTGGGTTATTTCTATAACCAGAGATTATACCGTTGAAGTTTGTGAGCTTGTTAATTTCTTTGTTCTAAATCTCATTACTTGTCTGATCCTTGACTACAGAAACAAGAGGCTTCAAAGAAAATAGTGATTACATTAAAAAAGCCAAACTAAAATCCAATTGAGGCATGTATTAACCGGGCTAATTCTCTCTCCCTTTCTGAATAAATACTGGTAATACTAGTTAATAAGCCAATTACATTCACAATAAAGGATCTTTAACTGGCTGCCTTTTACGTGCTCTAAGGTTCATAG